ACAATAAAGGAGTTTAAGTGTGCAAACTGTAAAGTTCAGATGTAACCTGTACTACTAATTTTTCTAGCTTTTGATAGAGCTGAATAGCTGTTTCCAGTATTTATGCTAAGCTAAGCTAGCATGCTGCAGTGGGTATCACATGTAAGTGGTATCAGTATTAATCCACATCTAAGCATGTTTTTTTCTCCATGCTTACATGTGGAAGGAAACCGTCTCTTGCTCCATTTTTGCATTTTATATTTGGAATAACCTTTTTCACACTATTCTCTTCTCATGTGTCTTTGCCTCCTTTCAGTCCTAAATTTCTGGCAGACCACCAGGAACGCCGAGCAGTCCTGTCCAGCAGAAGAAGCCTTCTCTCCCCTTGCGACCCTCGTAACTGTCTGGCCCGGCAGCCCCATCCTCCTGGCACCTAACCACGCTGGTCCTGCTCAGACCTCAGTCTGGAAGCAGTCCTGCAGAGACACAGACACACTGGACGGGGGTTCCCTCAGTTTAGCTCCCCTCCACCAAGCAGTCCAACCGGGTGCTTACTGGGCTCTGTGATCTCACTGAGCACTACACTGCCCAGCTGTGGCCGGCCTCCTGGTTACCTGGGTCGTAGAAGAGGAGCAGGATGCTTCCTTCATCTCTGGAAGTGACCTACTGTCCCGGAAACACAAAACAGAGACCTGACCTGAGGCAGAAATGCCAGTGAACACACTGAAATCTGCCGCCCTGTTTCTCCTAGTATTTATTTATAATTTATTCACTCTGCCAATTATTTATTTCTGATATATTTATTACTTGTATATTTTTGTGTGTTTTCCTTTTTTGTCATTCTGCGAGATGGAGCTCAAAGACAGTTTTCCTGCTGTGATGAAGACTTAAACATTTTAGCACATTCACTACTGTATATGTATATTTGTTTCCCCAAAAAACGTCTTCTTTTGTAAAACTTAAGGAAATTGAAATATTAGATTTTACCAGCATAATAATCCCCAAAAACTCACATATATGATTTTTACAAAGGGATGTTAGCAAATATGGTTTTTGTAAACAGGCTAATGAAGGTCTAGATTCAAAGAATAAGAATGTTTTTTATTTTGTTGTTGTTTTTATGATGGCGAATTGAATTGTGTTTTGAATCATCAGTAGTCTGGATGCTTGTGGACTATTTTATAACTCCTGCTTTGATTTTTTTTAATGATTTACAGCAGGTGATGTGTTGTTTGTCTGTTACATAGCTCAGGTCTCTCAGAGACCGGGGTAGGTGAGTGGTTGGGTGTTTGAGATCAAGACTAGGGCTGTTGGGCTGCGGTTTTTATTTTGCTCTTTGAATTGCACAGGTTTAAGTGACCGTGGAGTGAACTGACCTCCTTTTTTAACATTAGCTAAGGACAGAGGATTCCCCAAAGGTGTGCCTCCTCTTAAGTAACTGTCACCTTCATCATTGTAATCTCACCATTTTCTTCAGAAAACTTTTATTATTCACATTAACACCCCTAATTATGACATTAAGAAAAATGTTAATCATACTGACATTTTCCATATCCGAGCTTACGCTGTTCTCAAAACATCACCTTGTTCAGCTTTCTCTACATGCTTACTCCATACAGTATGGAGTACTGTTCAAGCACAGTTCTGCACTATGCATTAGAGCAATACAGTCGCCCCTGTTTCAGACTGATCTGGGTAAGATTTACCAAATCTTTTAACCATTTCCGCCGTCATGAACTAACCAGCAGGATAAGAATGATAAAACAGCAGGAGGAGTGTTGGCGATTTTGATGAAGGAGCACTATTGTCAATTTCCTGTGTAAAAATTGAGACATTGTTGCTTTTGAAACACTGAGATGGGCAGTTTGTGGAAT